GGTGGAGATAGGAGAAGGTTAGCCAAAGTTAACCTAGTGACTAAGGAGAAGATTTGAGGCACAAAAAGGCTCACTCAAATTCATATATTCCAAAGTATTTACAAGTGGTGGGGTGTTGGGTATTTATAGGAGGGGAGGCATCTAGGGTTTCATTTGGGACATGCATGGCCGAAATTCATAAGGCAAATGCACTCCAAATGAAATGCCAAATAACCCTAGATGCAACTTGGTGACCAAGGATGGAATCTATGGGTCTAGATTGGCTACAACTAGGTGCATGATAAGACCATGCAACCTTTGCCCTCCACTTGGGCCTAAGCCTTTCTATCACCAAAAATAGATCCAAAGCTCACCAAAAAAATAGGCGTCACCCCTCTAATGCACACCCTAGCCCAAAATTAAAACCTAATCATCTAAAGCACCCCATAATACAAGGGTAAAATGGGAAATACAAGGAAAATAAATCCTATGACTAAAATACCCAAAATACAAGGGTAAAATTGGCAAATAAAATAAACGCTATACTAATGAGACTTAGGAGAGTACTAATACTCTATGATCATGAGGAAAACGTCTCTTGGTGTGTGAACACCCTCCTCTTCTTCAACTCTCCTAGCCATGGACCTAGTGATGAGGCCCACATGTGTCTTCAAGGATGGTCCTCCATCACAATACCTGCAAAACAACAACCATATACACACAACAACCTTTCTCCCCCTTTGGCATTATAAAAAACAAACCAAGATATGTTTCACAATATAAGCCATATGCACATTCCTTAAGTACTCAGAATCATACCAAAACAAGTATAACACATCATAGGTATTAGACTCAATCTTTGTGAACAACACCATCTCAGCCAGAGTTATTTGATCAATCAAAAATTACAAGATACAAAATACAACTCAAAATTTTTACAACCCAAAACATCAACAATATATCAACAATCATTCATGCTCAAAACAGAGCATTCTAATCAGCAATCAACCAAGCTCATTAAAAACATTACAATTAAAATCAGAACATCAACAAATATGCTCAAAACCAGAGCATCAATGCACCAGCCATCCAAATCACAATTTGGTACCACAATCAAACCATCATATCAGCAATATAAACTTCAAATTTCACCAGAATTTAGAAAACAGAGGAATGAGTGAAGAAAACAACTTACGAAATTGTTGTGATATGCACCAAACTAATGGCTTCTTCTCATAGAATCTCGTTTATTTGGGTTGTTTTCTTTCTTTGTGTGTTAGGTTTCTTATGTGCTCGGGCAACAGCACTGAACCTAGATGGTGCTTCTGGGTTTCTAGCAAGTAAGTGAAATCTTACCCTCTTTTCCCTTCATGTATGTATAATCCATTTGCCTTTTGTATGAAAACCGTTGCCTTTCCAAAAACAATTATATATGTTAAATAAAAAATTAATCTTGTGTTTTCATTTAATAACCTCTTTTTTCTCTAGTTTTTGATGCCATGGTATCAAACTTATAATTGTGTTTACTATTAAATCTTAATTATTAGAATTTTGTTTGCATTGTAAGTTGGGTTTATACATTATTATTCGATCACTTCAAGTTTGACCATGCATGGAATTTTACGTATAAGTTGAATTTTATAAATAATATATGATGGATCTATGCATTAATAACGCGTCAGATTCAAATGACTCATGAATCCAACGCGCAACCCTCGTACCTCGTCTTGTACTCGAAGAGGTTCCAACAGTAACGGCATGGGGAACATCACGATTTTTAAAGTATTTTTTTTTTAAAATCAATTCTGTCAAAGTAAGTAATCCAATTCAACCTAATCCGACTCATTATAGGTTGAATAATAAATGGGTCAACCTCACACGGCTTACCTTTAAGTGAGTTTTAAAAAAATTAACTTGATTCGACTCACCATGAAGGTTAAGTGAGTTAGCTCACTTAAATTAAAAAAAATATTATTTATTAAAAAATATATTATAATCTTATATTTTAAAATTATAACCATGTTAGCAAATATGATAAATAAAATGTAAAAAAAAAAATAGATATCATCAACAACTAACTTAATCAATTTATAAAATTAAAATTGTTACATAAAATATTGACAAACAATATTTGACACTAATTATCATAATTCACAATTAGTATATAAAAAATTTAGTCAATTGTATAGATATAAAATCACATAAATTAACATTTGAAAACATAAAAAATAAAAAGTATATTAGATAAGTTAACCCGTGAGCTAACTCGGCTCACCACGGATTGCCTCATGGTGAATCAGATTGTAAGTAAGTTTAATCAAATTTTCTTTATAATTAAAATGGGTCAATTTTTTTGACTTAACCCAATTCAAACCCGTAGTGGATCCAGTTGACTCACGGATTTGAATTCACTTTGACAACTCTACTCACAACGACTTAGAAAGTTTTTGATTTAATAAAAAAAATGTTCTAAAATCAGTTACAAGTTAATTGATTTAGTATCCATGATGTTAAGTCTACTTTTTTAATTAGGGTGAAAAATTAAAATAATAATATAATATATGTAATATCAATTTATACATGATTTTTTTTATTTGTATCTTTCTGTATTTCATACTTGGTTACATTTTTCTATCTTTATTTGTTAAGTTGTCTCTTTCTATCTTGAGTGTAAAATTTGTTGTACAAGTATATTTTTCTTAAAATAAACTTTTAATTGTGTTACTATATATATAGGATCTGAAAAAGCTCAAAGTAGAAGGCTACTTAATAAACCTATACCTGCACGTCCTTGTTGTCACAATTATCGCCCATGAAGTGGCTGCTGTGCTACGCGGTTGAAAGAATAAGGAGAACTAAAGATATGTTAGATTCCAGTCTATAATTATTTGTGATTGGTTTGAATGTTGCAATTGGTTATACGTTTATATTAATGCGATAGTATGTTTTGGAGAGGTGTTCATCATCTTTTATCGTGCTTTTGTAAGTGAAAAATGTGATATTAATTATTAAAGAATCACCATATCTATTGTTGTTTTATATAACTAAAAGAGCTTAAATTCATTAAAAAAAATATTATACAGTGACACATACTTTATAATGTTACAATATTTGTTATTACAAATTAATTTTACTTATATTATAAATATATGTTGATATATTGTTAAAAGTTGTAAATATATATTATACTGACACACAATACATGTTATTAAATTTTTTAAAATTAATATTAAAATTGTGTATAATTATATGTTAAATAGGTTTATACTTACATATTTTGTATTTATAATGACATTTTTTTTTATAATGTAACATTTCTTAAAAAAAAAAATTTAGTTAAGGTGATAATTTTAAAGTAAATAAGGTATTTCCTCACAGTATAATACTTAATAACAAATCAATACTTATAATTAGTCTAAAGGTCAGAGATGATTTTTTGTAAAAAAAAATTATATATAATTGATTTTAAGTAATTCTCGAGTTTTTATCTTCATAATTATTGCATAATTAAAAGAAAAACAACGTAATTTTTTTCAAGAATTTCGTAAAAGGTAAACAACACAAATGTTTCAAAAATCAAGATAACTATAATAAAAATGATATATAATAAATCCAGTCATAACAGAAATAAAAACCCAAATTTTTATTCCACGTCCTTTCAAAGTAAGGTACCTACCAAGAAATAACATCAAATTAAAGCCAAAGTCTTCCCTCCAATATCAACATCTAATTATTTTTCACCTTCAAATGACATTTAGTCCAAACACAAATAAAAGAAAATAACATGCATAAAACATAAGTACCACATCTCTTACTCATTCTCCTGATGGATATATGAACAAAAGTTAGACAACACATACACAAAACATATAAAGAAATAAAAGATAACAATTATAAATTCACTTAGTAAGATTATCTTCCATGCTATCCAATGTTATTTTTCTAGAGTAGTTTAGAAGAGCATGATATAGTCCATGAAACACCACACCATGGACGTTTAACACTCCCTCCCCACTAGGGTGAGATCCATTAGTGGCTCATCAGGTAATCAAAGTCTTGCAAGTGTATTCTGTCCATATGAGATCAACATGAGCCATTAGAAGATTTTAAACTAACTAAATTTTTAAGGTTAAAATCCTATGGTCTTTGTGATCTCTCTCATATAAAATTCACATCATGTGCTGTGAAAACTTAGTTTAATATGCTTATGATTCATGTATCATATGCAAAATGCTCACAAAGCCTCAATGATCCACAATTATCTCAAAAGTACACATGACACATCAAGTGTCCTCAAGATTTTCATTGAATTATTTTGTTACAATGAGTTCATTCAACTTATCTTAAGCATTTCATTTCTCAAGTGTACATATCAAGTTCCTTGTGTGTGGTTCTCATATTCTCAAGAATCTTAAATCTCAATCTTATTTGTTGCTCAATCTTATTTCATTTCATTTCTCATGAGTAGTGGCCATTAAGGGGTCCTATTTGTTGCTCATACACTTAGCATGATTCACCCATAATTAATCACAACTTCAAATACACATAACCCATTTTTATTTTCCCTTTTTATTTCTTATAAAATTTATTTTAACATGAAATATTAGTTGAAATAAAATAATTTTAATAAATGATTAACATTTAAAATAAATTATTGGATATTTTTTTAAATCTTTAACTTAATGGAAAAAGCTATTAAATACATAATACATATACATGGGAGATTTATAATTAAAATTAAACTAAAGTTATTAATACTAGTAGTTTGACACTTATCGTCTTTAATCAAGAATAAAGTGGATGAACTCATTAAGAAAAAAATTTATCTCCTAATTATATTATAAAAATATTAAAATTAAATGAGAGTTTTAGTAAATCCTTTTATAGTTTTATTTTACATATATAGAAAGTTGTATATATAAAGCAAAAACAATGCTCAGAAAAAGATATCTACTTGTACAAAATTCACTTTTACTCTACCTTCAAGAATTTTCCAAGAACTCTCCAAGACTAAAGGAGGTTAGTACATCCATGCTTAGGCATGGTGGACATGTTCTCATGTCCTTGGCCTTGCCTTGGAACTCCGTCACCTTTAAGGCCTTCCAAGCCTCCTTTGAAACCATCTTTCGCTAATGTGGTCACCTCTTACTACAAGAAATGTTATAGTGACATACAAAAAGTGTCATTATAAATACAATATATGTAGGTATATGTCTATTTGACATATAGTTACACACAATTTTAGTGTTGATTTTGAATGAGATTTAACAACATTTTGTGTGTTACTATACTCTATACCCACATTTTTTAATAATATACCAACATATATTGTAGTTATTGTGTAGGTAAAAATAATTTTTAGTGACATCTATAGTGTCACTATAGAATGTATGTTACTGTATAGAAATTTTGTTGTAGTGTCTTCTTCGGTGGTTCCAAGCTTCTCCTCTCTTCCTCGGCCTTGTTGGAAGGGGGACTCTCTTGCCATCAAGATCCCTGAAGATGCGTACCAAGAAGGTCTAGCAAGGTGCTCAAAGCATCTTCACGGGAGAGTCCTTTTGGCTAAAGGACAAAAGCCGCTCAAGGTAACAAATTTGAAAACTAAACTTTCAGTTTTGTGGCACCAAATAGTAGGATGGAACATCATATCCCTCTCGGCAGGGACTATTTTGAAATAGAATTTCATAACTGCAATGATCTTGGGACGGTTCTTGTGACTGGATCATGGAACTTGGATCCAGGATTGCTAAGGCTTTCTATTTAGAAGCCAGATTTTAATCCAGAGTCATAGAAACTCTCTTGCTCAAGTCTGGTTGAGAATCTTGGAGCTGTCTCAAGAATATTGGAGCTCAAGAATCATTCTTGCAATTGCATCTGTAGTGGGAACGCCAACCTTGGACAAAGCAACCTTGCAACGGTCATATGGACATTTTGCTCGGGTCTTGATCGAAGTTGATCTTGTGAACAAGATTCTGACTCAACTGCTAGTGTTACAGTAATTATCTACTGTTAACAATAATCACATGTCATGAGTTTTCTCTTTTCATATACCTTGGTGTTTTTACTTTTTACTGTTATGGGCTTTTATATTTTTACTGTGCAATTTTTCTCTATTTTACAAGCTGATGTGGCTGGGTAGAAGATTCTAGATTGTATGGGCAGGGTGTAATACCCGTGCATATTATTAGATGTGCAACCAAGTGGAATAAAAGAACATGATTCACTTTTGAAAAATTATTCTCTCTCTTCTAACTAATTCTCTGCTACGCAATACGGGTTCTTTGCACCGAGCTCTATTCCTTCATTGGGGCTCCTGTTTAGAACTAAGGATTTTTACCGGTTCTCCCTAAAAATCCAAATCCTGTCACAATTGGTATCAAAGCTTCGACCTGGTATTTTGAAAATGGCCGCTGCCACCCGCAACCAAATTGCCATTGCCGACCTTGAGAAGAAAGTCGATGACAAGCATGCAGAAATCAATGCTCGGCTGGAACAAATGAGTGTGAGCATGGAGGAAATTAGGAGTCTCTTGTGTACGCAAGCATCACAGAATCAAAATGAAGCTTCTTCGATCATCAAAAACAACAACTCCTTTTCTGAAAATATTAAATCGAGTCACCACTCATACTCCACCAGAATATCAAAGGTTGAATTTCCGAGGTTCGACGGAAAAAGGATGAAAGAGTGGTTGTATAAATGTGACCAATTCTTCATGTTGGATGGTACTCCTGCAGAATCCAAAGTTCGCCTAGCATCCATCCATTTAGATGGAATCGCCCTTCAATGGCACTTGAATTACATGAGGAATAAGTTTGATATATACCCACCATGGCAGCAATATGTAACAGATGTAACCATGCGATTTGGAGAGATCTATGACGACCCACTTTCTTCATTGATTCAAGTGAAACAATCTGGGACAATTCAAGATTATGTTGATGAATTTGAGTTGGCTTTGACTCAGGTATCTTTGTTGCCTGAACACTCTCTGAGTATTTTCTTAACTAGTTTAGAATATAGTACACAAATGCATGTGCGCATGTTCAATCCCAATTCAATTGCCCATGCCGCTAATCTTGCCAAATTGTATGAAGCTTCCAGGGTTTCCGTGAGCAAGGTTAACAATAGAACGGATTACTCCATTGTTAGACCTGCAAATTTGAATCCTAAACCTCTTCTGACCAATACCTATGCCACACCGAACCAGAACCAAAAACCAGTGTTTAACAAAATTCCTAGAACCTTTAGTGCTGCAGAAATGGCTGAAAGAAGGGCTAAAGGCCTTTGTATGTTTTGTGATGAATTATTCACACCGGGACACCAACTGAAACATAAAAGATCACAACTCTTGGTGATGGAGTTGGATGAGGAGGACCAGGATGTTGATAATGCAACTGAAAAAGAGGAGGATGTTGGAATAATTAGTAGTGAGGGTATAGCTACTGAAACTCCCCAGTTATCTTTGAATGCTATGACAGGAATTCCAGGTTATCAGACTATGAGGGTCACTGGTAGGCATGACAAAAAATTCCACAGTAAAAATATAAAAGCCCATAACAGTAAAAAGTAAAAACACCAAGGTATATGAAAAGAGAAAACTCATGACATGTGATTATTGTTAACAGTAGATAATTACTGTAACAATTGGAAGTACACATAACTTCTTGGACTTGGAAGTGGCCAAGAGACTGGGTTGTAAGCTGGAGAAAATCACTCCAATGACGGTCACAGCTGGGGAAGGCACCAGATTGGAAGCTCCCTATCTTTGTAAGGGGTTTAATTGGCAACTACAACAAATTTCTTTCACTGCAGATGTGATTGTGCTCCCCTTGGGTTGTTGTGATTTAATTTTGGGAATACCATGGTTGAAATCTTTGGGCCCGATACTGTGGGACTTCACCAAGCTTCAAATGGAATTTTTGATCAAAGGAAGGAAGGTCTTACTTAGGGGGGCTAAGCCTTCCAAAGTTAAACTCATTAATAACAAATCTCTCTCTCAAGCCATTCAACACGGGGCACAAATGTGTTTCTTGTATATGGAACCACCCAATCAGCATTTGGAGATGCCTTCTTGTCAATTGCATACTTCAGTCGAATCTTTGCAACAGGACATTGTGGATAATATTGTTGAAGAAATGTTGCAGCAAGGTCTTATTCAGCATAGTAATAACCCATTCGCATCTCCAGTTGTTTTAGTGAGGAAGAAAAATGGCATTCCTCTAGCAGTCCTAGAAGGTTGTTAGTTCTTCAAAATCCACAAAATTGAAGGGTTGGGGTTTTTCACGTCCCGTGCCGCTCAGCCCCGCAGCAGCCTTCAATGTTGGTTCGTCCAACTTAATCATTTTTCCTTTCACCACCGATTACATGATACCCTTATTGCTTGTGGCAAAACAGAGAAATAACCTGATCAACTCAGGGTAATATGGTCCCTCCATTTCCAAAAACTTCCCCAGTTCTTGGTGCTCTAGATGGGTTGGGAAACTGAAACCTTCATTCTTAAACCACTCAAGCTTAAGAGTCTTCGGAGGAATGATTCTCCGTCCAGCATACCACTCAAAGTAGTATTCTTGAGTCTTCTCATCCGGGAACCACTTTGAAATCAGTTGCCCTGAGGGTAGAGGGCCTTTGCTCCCCCTCACTTCAAGCTTGTTGGGTCTCTTTGATGAAGATGCCATGAGTGAGTATTGAAGAAAGAAGGGGAATCTGAAAGGCCACTAGAATAATCGATTATCTTGGGAAATAATCGATTATCTGGGCAAAGTTAGGAGAAACTACTCTCTGTAATAATCGATTATCTTGAAAATAATCGATTATCCATATCAGATTATGTTTAAGGTGAGAACGGTTTAGGCTCTGTTTCTGGCCCCCTGCCAGGTTCAGCTTCCACCTGTGGTGGTTGATCCTCATCATGTGACGGAACACCGTCTTCATCGGTTGCCGACTCAAGGGTTAGGGGTACATCTCCTTTAAACACCCATTTATCTTCTTGCTTAAGCATCCCCATATGGTGCAAGGAAGATTTTTCAATCTTGTTCGAAGCATGTAAAACTATTTTCCTTTCCCCTGTTAAATCCACACCTGCATTCTCAAAAATCTTTGACAACAACAGAGCATATGGAACTGGTCCATCTTCCTTCCGTCTTGCTTTCCACATACAATCATTAACGACTGACACCCAATCAATCTTGATTTTCTTTTTAATCACATGCATAAGTAAAATGTCATCTCTTGACATTTGGGCATGATTATGTAAATGAGGTTTCAACATCCAAGCAATGATAAAGGAAATTAAGCGGGAATTCTTTTTCATACCTCCTGCCAGAAACTTTTCATAGTTGGTATTCACCGGATTCCTCTAGCAGTCCTAGAAGGTTGTTAGTTCTTCAAAATCCACAAAATTGAAGGGTTGGGGTTTTTCACGTCCCGTGCCGCTCAGCCCCGCAGCAGCCTTCAATGTTGGTTCGTCCAACTTAATCATTTTTCCTTTCACCACCGATTACATGATACCCTTATTGCTTGTGGCAAAACAGAGAAATAACCTGATCAACTCAGGGTAATATGGTCCCTCCATTTCCAAAAACTTCCCCAGTTCTTGGTGCTCTAGATGGGTTGGGAAACTGAAACCTTCATTCTTAAACCACTCAAGCTTAAGAGTCTTCGGAGGAATGATTCTCCGTCCAGCATACCACTCAAAGTAGTATTCTTGAGTCTTCTCATCCGGGAACCACTTTGAAATCAGTTGCCCTGAGGGTAGAGGGCCTTTGCTCACCGATTTTTACCGGTTCTCCCTAAAAATCCAAATCCTGTCACAGCTAGTGGAACGGGAAGGTTATGCATTCTTCGTTACTTTTGAATTCAATAGGCTTCCTATGTTTTGTTCTAATTGTCATTGTATAGGCCATGTAAACTCTACGTGCAACATGAATAACCATGTAGAAGAGGCTGCAGAAAAGCCACAAAATGAACCAAAGATAAATCATGGATCAAGAAAACCATCTGATACAGCAGTTGCGAGGCATAATTCAGGTGTGTTTGAAGCTGGACAACATGTAGGTGATCCAGCTGATCCAATTGCACCGAATGCTCAGCGGGTCAGTGGCTTGGGTAAGCCAAATCATGTCTCGGTCACAGGATCAGAATTACAGTTGGAGCTGGAAAAGGCTGCTGCAATTATCAATGTTGGTGCAGCAGCTGAGTCAGCTGCTGATTTGGTCCCAATCCAGCAAAGATTAATAGTGCTGCCAAGGTCAGTCTTGGAGAATGCAACTACTACTGCTTATGTGATCAAGGATGTTGGAGCAGCTGCTCATTTAGCAGTTGCGGATTATAATGCGGATGTAGCATTTAATTCCAATGTGAAATGTAAATTTGGTGCAACAAATGACTCTAATATACAGAAATGTGTATCTTCACCAGCTGAGCCGAATGTAGCAACTGCTATAACTGTTGGTTGTGTTGATCATGCAGTAGGCATTCCAGCTGCTAAGTTGATTCCTGATTAGCCACGTTCAATTATGATGCTAAGGACAGATTATGCAGCAGCTGCTACCCCCGTAATCATTGATGTTGGTGTAGCACCAGCTGCTGATTTGGTCTCAGTCTAGCCTTAGTCAATTGTGAAGCCAAGGATAGTTTTAGATAAGGCAGCAGCTAAATCAGCAGCTAAGACTTATAATGTGAATGTAGTAGCTAAGGTACGTAAAGTTGGTGCACCAGTTCAATGTAACGTGGCTGCATCAGCTGAGTCAGATGTGGGCAGTAAAGTTGGTGTAGCAGATAACTCTGGACCCAAAAAGGGATGTTTATTTGCACCACGGAATGCAGCAGCTGCTGCAACTGATATGGGTGATGCAGAAGTGAATTCAGCATCTGTGGGGTCACTTGAAGGCATGCCATCCCTTGACGATTTTTTTGAAGAGGAGAACCAAAGATGTGGTGTTGCATCTGAATCAGAGGGTGATAGTCCACCCTCGGTCAGGCATAAGCAAACTTATGCTGAATATCAACTAAGATCTGAAGCAAGGGCTGCCAAATTCGCTAAATTCTCTTAAATTTGCTAAATTCTCTTAAATTGTATTTGGAGATTTGTGGGGTGCAAGTTGACTGTATAAAGTTTAACTGATATGGTTTCAGACTATGCCACTTGATTGGCATTGTTAGCATTACTTTGTATCTCTTGTTTTTTATTTTTTTTGTGGGTTTTGGTTTGGTCCCCCCACCTTGTACTTTTATCTTTCATTTTAATTTTAGCCTTTATTGATATGGAGCACATGATTGGTGTGTTGCAGGGTACTAACACTAGTGGAAAACGAGGCTTTTACATCACCTCTTTCTCATCGAACTTAACAAAAATCGACGTAAAAAAGATGCGGTGGAATTTTTGTAATTTTTGTGAACTTTTTATGTCAGACCTGGTAAGGTTCAACGTAAAATGTACAATCTACGTCAGACACAACATACAACCGACGTAGATTGTACACGCATGGGAGGCACACGCATGCACGCAAGAGAATCAAAAGAGTGCATGGGAGGCACATGCATGCACTCACTCACTCGGATCTCATCACTTTTATAAATTCTTCTTTGTATAAACCCTCTCCCTCTCCTTTGTTTCTAAATCATTTTTTTTATCTTTTGCAGAGTGAGGTGAACTCTTCGTTACTCATTCGCACATTGTTGCAGCTCAGGTATGAATCGCTAACACCTTTTTGCTTCGCATTGCTTTTATTGCTATTTGTTCTATTCGGTCTTTATGTTGTTCTATTTGTTTTGGTTGTTGGCCTTTTCTGGTGGGTTATTCTATCAAGTAGAACGACCCGTTCTCCAATCAGAATGGCCCGTTCTTCTTGCACTCGTTATGTTTTTTTTTATTTACAACTTTTTTACGTCGGATCTTGGCAATGTTCGACTTAAATTTACGTTAGATTTCACAGCCGATGTAAATTTACGTCTCTCGCTTTAACGTCAGACTTCTTTCTGACGTAAAAAGTTTAATAACTGACGTAAATTACCTCTTTTGTACTAGTGTAACCTAGTTAGGACCCCCTTTCGCATAAGAATGCTATAGCACATCTACCTTTTTCAAAAAAATAAAGCAAAAACAAAAAATTGTAATGGGTCTTAGATCTCAAATAGCTCTAATATGCCCTTCACTTATGTTAGTATTACGACATCTCGAACCCTAACCCTAACCTTAACCTGTAGAATCTTATACGCAACAATGACAGTAACCTACTTCAACCACTTTACATTGCAAGAACATATCGTCTCAAAAATGCTTTGTCAAAATGGCAATCCCAATGACTACTATTAACTACAGTAGAACATCTTGAATTTTGAAACAAAAATAAAATAAAGTAATTAAAATAATATTTGAAATATAGACAAATAATTTGTTTAATTATGTTATAATATTAATAAATGATGTTTTTAATAAATAGTAAAATAGAGATAAATTGTAGGTTTGTGGGAATCCTTTGGATTAGATCCTTAGGCTTGACTCGAAGTCTTATCAATAATTAAGAAGCGGATGGGTTAGGTAATATAACACGTCAGCTTCTAAAACCCTAAAAGCATTGGCAAAAGAAAACCAGGAGGAGAACCGTGAGGACTATCGGAACCCGAAAAATTTGATCTTGCCCACAAATAGTTTAGACAACCATTTTGAAAATCTCATTGGTTAAGGAATGTCCGGATACCAGACTAATCCCTAATCAATGGTTTTAGAAAAAGAGTTTGAAGGAGTCACCACCAATATTTTACTCAAAATATCAGAAAAAGAACAGATTTTTCAAATTACCAAAGTGACCTTCGTAGCCATAATTAGGGTCGGGGTCGATTACGTGTATGTAAGGTATTAGGCATCCTACAATGCCCTATATTGGTACACTACGATGAAATTAGAAAGATAGAGAATAAAAGTTCAAATATTTAGTCCCTTCTATTAATGGTTATTTACATGCTTAATTTAAAATTACATCGTTGAACCTAAGACATCTACATGGTTGCTCTCATTTATGACAATGTTTTATGGTAGAAATAATAGGTAATAGAGAAAGAATTTAATGGAAATACCTTTTGAACGAGATTTTATAGAATGTGCTTCCAATATGGTGGGCTTGAGGCATTTTTTGGTTGCCTTACACACTACAACTTACCTCACAAATCTCAAGAAATACAAAGGGAGAAAGAAAGAGAATATTTCCAACTGTGTGAGACTTTAGTAGGCAATTTTTTGGCTCTCGAGCATTGTACTCGAAGCTCATATATATAGATGTTAGACTTTACCAGAATAGGTTTTTCTAATCATTGGAATAAGGCATTCCGGAATAGTCTATTATAAGTAACTTTTGAGTTTGGAATGGCCCATTTCAAAATCGAAATGGCCCATTTCAAGATTGAAGTTAACTCATAACAACCTGGTTCAAAATGGTTCATTCTAAATTGGGAACGCCCCGTTTTGACCTAGGATTTCTAAGCCATTTTAGAAGCTTGGAACAGTCCGTTCTGGATTAGAAAAGGCCCATTTTAGGCTATTAATTCATCCTTTTGGGTTTTTGGGCCTTCTGATTTCATCCTAATCCATCCTAATGTCAATGAGCCATTCTGATGTCATGTTGATCCATTTTGACATCATATTCGGGCCTTCGGGAACTCCTTTGTCTAGTACTAAAGGCCTATTTCCTTGTTTGCATGTCCCAGACGAAATTAGGTGTCTACAGATGCCCTTCTTTACTTGTCCTTTAGATAGCTATGTGTTTCTTTCCCAAAAGCAAGTAAAGATGTATACATTTCACCTGGGTCTTCTCTTTTGTTTCATAGTGTAGGTGCTTCCACTTTATTTCCTTCGGGTAGATGGTTTTACCTGTATCCTTACGCTTTGGAGCAACTGAGTGTCAAGTTGCATATTTCGTTGGCTGACAAGGATGGTAAATTGTATTATCTGGACTTCGGGCTTGGTGTAGATGCTCCATGTTTATACCCCTGGTCGCTTGTTTGGTGATGGCGTGATTGAGGCTTTATTCCAAGCTCGTCGAGGAATGAGTATATTCTAAGCTCAGCCTCTCCAAGTTGGACTAACATTAAGGCTTCAGTCAACCTTTTTCGAGTGTTCCTTGGCATAGTCTCTCCAAGCCGTACTACTTTTAAGGGTCTCGCTAACCTTTTTTGAGTTGTTGTTGAGTATTCTTTATTAGCCTCTCCAAGCTTGAGGTAAGTATTGTTTGCTAGCCTCTCTAGGTCAATGAGTATTCTCTACGGCCTCTCCAGGCCGGTGAGTATTCTTTATAGCCTCTCTAGGTTGGTGAGTGTTCTCTATAACTTCTCTAGGCCGATGAGTATTCTCTGTAGCCTCTCCAAGCCAATGAGTATTCTCTATAGCCTCTCCAAGCCGGTGAGTCGATGATTCATCTGAAGTGCCCTAACATTGCTTGGAAAAGGATCATCCTCTTTGTAGGATGTTTGTAATTGTGTGGTGAGTATTCTATGCATACTTTCCAAGCTAGTGAGTATTCTCTACAGCCTCTCCAGGCCGTTGAGTATTCTTTGTAGCCTCTCCAGGCTAGTGAGTATTCTCTACAACCTCTCCATGCTGGTGAGTATTCTTTACAGCCTCTTTAGGCCAGTGAGTATTCTCTACAGCCTCTCTAGGCCAGTGAGTCGACGATTCATTTAAAATACCCCAATACTACTGGGCAAAGGATCATCTATTTTGCAGGATGATCGTAATTGTGTGGTGAGTATTCTCTGCAGCTTCTCTAGGCCAATGAGTATTCTCCATAGCCTCTCTAGGCTGGTGAGTATTCTCTATAGCCTCTTTAGGCCGGTGTGATGAGTCATTATTTTCCCCTATTTATTTATCTTTCTGTACTTATTTTAATTGTTGATTTGGGCTTAATCGCTTATTAATTGTACAGTTTTACTATTTGGGCTTCACTGGGCCAGTAATTCGAATTTTAATTAATTCTGATTCACTTGGTCTAATTTTTGTTTATCAATTATTTTCAGGTTAATTGTGGAGCATTTTTGGGCTTGGATATTAATTTTGGACTTCAAGAGATAAAGTGACATGCCAGCGCCATGTCAGCATTACAGTGCCACGTCAGCGCCACATCAGCAACATGCTTGCATTTTTGTTAACCTTGTATTATTCATTTTCAGGCCAGACATATCCAGAGAGGGCCCAATTTCATTTTAGGTCATAGGAGTCTAGGTTAGGGATGACTTGGCAGCCATTAACATTAACAATCTGATGTGACCACGTTTTGGACACTTCTTCCTTCCCTTTATTTTTACATTTTTTTGGCTCTCTGTTCTGCTATCTCCATTTTTCACATTTTTTCTATCCAGTCATGTTTTGTTTTGCTGGTTGTATTTTGAGACTGAGTTTTTTTGTTGAATGAATACAGATTGTTAGTTTCATTTTCTTCTCCTTCTTCGTTGCATTTTTTTTTTCATTTATGTTGAATGGAAAGATAAAACCCTTGGGGTTGGCTCCTTGAGCAGATTGTAATCTATATTTGAGGTTTTATTCGTATATGTTCTGCTTTCTTCTTCTTCTTCTTCATTGAACCGTTTTCAACACTTGTTCATGCTTAATGAATCAGGTTGCTCACAGGTTGCTTAATCTTGTGGGAAGGTTTAATGTGGTATACGTTTGCTTAATTCGTGTAGGGAAATCTTGAGTTAATCTTCGCTTAGTTGGTTAACTTGGATGGAACAAGGATTAAGTTATGAACTGAGAAATCTTTTGAGAACCAAGGATAAGAGAGTTGAATCTGAACAGGGAGCCAATCCATTTTTCATTTGCTGTGATACCTGCGTTTTATTGTGTTATAAATTGATAAATTTGAATGAAACCCCGCCCCCCCACTTCGTGTGTGTGTGAACCTTTGACAGAAAAAATATGGTCCTTGGGAGACGACTTAGGACAACTTCCTAGTACTGCATTTAATTGTTTTATTTGACTGGGTACGGCCTCGATCAAATTTGGCGCCGTTGTCGGGGACCATCGATTTCTATAAAAGGCTGTGTGGCTGTGTGTTATTTGTTTTTGCTGTGTTCTGTTGTGTGTTTGGTGCTTTAGAATCCCTGTTAAGTTTTGTGTGTTTTGAGTATATAAGTTTCAGTGTATTAGTTGATGCTTGCATGTTCGTGTCATACTATATGTTATGTTGTGTAATTGTGTTTGTTATTAGTCCCTACAAGTATAGCAAGTTTTTCAGTTGAAGAATCATGCTATTGAGTTTCATGCAATTAGAGAACCAATGCAACAGAAACTCAATGGAACAGTAACTCGAGTCTTTTTTTTTGTGCATTTGTTGTCATGTGTTTGTGACAACTAATCTTTATTGCATTCCATAGCTCATTGACCAATTATATTGATTTCATTTGGTGTGCTAAATCATTTTTGTGCTGTGTTGAGTTTCAATTATTGCAAGGTCCATAAGTGTAGAATCAGAAAAATCAACTGAAAAGGATTTCTACTAGATGAATAGTAACCATTTTTTCCAATTAATTGTGATTTTTGGTTTTGATAGCTAGACTTGTTATTTTTGCCTCAAATTTTGTGTAGTAACTTCTTTCAACTTATATTTTGTGTGAAAAAAAGCCAGAGGCCCAAAAGGTGGTCTAGTTTTGAAGATACAAAAATTTGTGAAGCTATATTTTTCCAAAATTTCAAACGACCATAACTTTTGTTCTAGTTATCAGAATGAGGCAAACTTTGTTTTCAAATTGTGTAGAAAAATGAGATATATCACATTCCAATTCAATATTTTCTTTCCACCAGCCTTGGGGAACATCCAGCCATCATCCTTCTTCCTAGACCGTGGAGAAAGAGGGATCTCCTCCTTGGAAGCCAAAGAACACACGACATGGAAGGAAGGAGCCCATCAGATTGGAACCTTCGAAGCAATCTCTATAGAAAGAAAATGTGGGTGCTTTCTGGCAGCCTCCTCGCTCTACAATAACCTCACTTCCTCTCGACAATTTTTAACCAAGAAACTTTGAAATCCCTAGCAATTATCCAAGGATTTCTTAGTCAGAAACTGCGATGAGTTTACTTTACTCGAAGTAACCTGAAGAGAGTCAAAAGAGAGAGAGTCCCAATTTTGAGAATTGTAGTGTGTGGCTTGAGGGAGGGGGGTTGACCCCCTTAAATAGTGCATTTGAGGTTGGAACAGTTGCTCTCCCTTTGGAACGATAGTTTTAAACCTAATTTTATATGTAAGTTTTGGATTTGGAATGGCCATACTCTTCATGGGAACGACCATTCTCATACAACATGAGTATGTCCATTCTCATGAGGAGTATGCCCGTTCTCATGTCTCTTGGGCTTGGTTCATTGGTTGTTTTTACTCTTTGGAATTCCTTTTAAAGGTCTCTAGAACCATTTTGAAGTATTTCAGAGTCTTCAAGGTCCTTTAAGGGTCACTTCTCTCGCTTTAGAAGCTTCCCATCTTCGGATTCTTCCCAGACAGAAACTGGTGTCTATAGTGGATCCATCAACAAACTTGGTTAAGTCCTTCTTGAGTTGCATATTTTCACTTTTGAAGACTTCTATACTAGGAGGAACAAAACCAATGATCTTGCTTTTGAGACATAGTATCTCTTTAGCGTCATCTGTCAATTTTTTCTTGAGCTCAAGATTTTCTTTTTCTAAAACTTTATACTTTTCTTTTATCTTCTTGTATTTAAGGGAAATCATATGAGAATTATCTAAGAGAGTTTCAAAAGACATTTCATCATTGTTAGTGATGGTAAGAACCTTTAAATCTCAGGCTTTAGAGATGGTAGTGGCTTTGGGTTCCTAGACCTTAGGAAGGCTGTCTAGGATTTTGAGATTATTTTGAGCTTTGGTGAACTCAGTTCCCAGGGATTTTAATCCATTTAGAATTGTTTGGAATCTTCCAAAAATTTCATCAATGGTTGCATTCTCCTTCATTAATAACAACTCACAGTGCCTTTAAAGAGTGGTAGCTTGTCTGAGAATGACATCCTCACTACATTCATGAGTTACCCTGATAGCTGAAAAACTTGTTGTACTCAGTTCTCGATAGAGAGCAAGCAAGTATGTATCTTGTTTTAGTATTCTACTGCAAAATGTTGTAATCTTTGTAACGCCATGGATAATCGATTATTCTAGTGGCCTTTCAGATTCCCCTTCTCAGATAATCGATTATTTCCTATAGATAATCGATTATTACAGTGGCTCTTTGAATTCTTCATCTCCTAGATAATCGATTATTCCCCAAATAATCGAAAATGATAGTTCAAAAACAGAATTTAAAAAACCTAATTAAAACTAAGCATCAGAACAGAACAGAAATCAAGATTCATGTCTGCGAGACATTTCCATCACCGCATCAAGTTTATTTAGCATGATTTGCTCAAAAGGTGAGAACGGTTTAGGCTCTGTTTCTGGCCCCCTGCCAGGTTCAGCTTCCACCTGTGGTGGTTGATCCTCATCATGTGACGGAACACCGTCTTCATCGGTTGCCGACTCAAGGGTTAGGGGTACATCTCCTTTAAACACCCATTTATCTTCTTGCTTAAGCATCCCCATATGGTGCAAGGAAGATTTTTCAATCTTGTTCGAAGCATGTAAAACTATTTTCCTTTCCCCTGTTAAATCCACACCTGCATTCTCAAAAATCTTTGACAACAACAGAGCATATGGAACTGGTCCATCTTCCTTCCGTCTTGCTTTCCACATACAATCATTAACGACTGACACCCAATCAATCTTGATTTTCTTTTTAATCACATGCATAAGTAAAATGTCATCTCTTGACATTTGGGCATGATTATGTAAATGAGGTTTCAACATCCAAGCAATGATAAAGGAAATTAAGCGGGAATTCTTTTTCATACCTCCTGCCAGAAACTTTTCATAGTTGGTATTCACCGGATTCCTCTAGCAGTCCTAGAAGGTTGTTAGTTCTTCAAAATCCACAAAATTGAAGGGTTGGGGTTTTTCACGTCCCGTGCCGCTCAGCCCCGCAGCAGCCTTCAATGTTGGTTCGTCCAACTTAATCATTTTTCCTTTCACCACCGATTACATGATACCCTTATTGCTTGTGGCAAAACAGAGAAATAACCTGATCAACTCAGGGTAATATGGTCCCTCCATTTCCAAAAACTTCCCCAGTTCTTGGTGCTCTAGATGGGTTGGGAAACTGAAACCTTCATTCTTAAACCACTCAAGCTTAAGAGTCTTCGGAGGAATGATTCTCCGTCCAGCATACCACTCAAAGTAGTATTCTTGAGTCTTCTCATCCGGGAACCACTTTGAAATCAGTTGCCCTGAGGGTAGAGGGCCTTTGCTCCCCCTCACTTCAAGCTTGTTGGGTCTCTTTGATGAAGATGCCATGAGTGAGTATTGAAGAAGAAGAAGAGAATGAGAGAGTTGAGAGAGTTAGGGTTTGTGGGTTTGAGAGAAAATGAGAAAATGAGAGAAGGAGAGGTTTTTTTTATAGAAGTTTTGCCCTAACAACTTCTGAGTGGGGGAGTTATAGGAGGTTTTAAGGGTTTGGCGCGTATTTAACCGTTCAAATGCTTCAGAAATTTTAAATATTTCCCAAATAATCGATTATTTATGTAAATAATCGATTATCTGCATCAACAAAATCCCTTTAAAAACATAATCTGATATGGATAATCGATTATTTTCAAGATAATCGATTATTACAGAGAGTAGTTTCTCCTAACTTTGCCCAGATAATCGATTATTTCCCAAGATAATCGATTATTCTAGTGGCCTTTCAGATTCCCCTTCTCAGATAATCGATTATTTCCTATAGATAATCGATTATTACAGTGGCTCTTTGAATTCTTCATCTCCTAGATAATCGATTATTCCCCAAATAATCGATTATTATCATGGCTTTACTTAAAATAGTCGATTATATTTTAAGATAATCGATTATTCCAGATTCATCAAGTTTATTTCTAAAAACCCACTTGGTTCCTATAATTGGATAGTCTTTTGGTAATGCCACTAAATCCCATACAACAAGTATAACACATCATAGGTATTAGATTCAAACTTTGTTAACTTTTAATATCCAAGTCAGAATTATGAGCTCAGCAACATGAATTGATCACAAGCTACAAACCACAATTCAGAATTTTTCAATCCAAAAACATCAACAATATATCAGCAATCATTCATGCTCAAAATAGAGCATTCTAATCAGCAATCAACCAAGCTCATTAAAAACATTACAATTAAAAACAGAACATTAACAAATATGCTCAAAACCAGAGCATCAATGTACCAGCCATCCAAATCACAATTTGGTACCACAATCAAACCATCATATCAGCAATATTAACTTCAAATTTCACCAGAATTTAATTGTTCAACAGCACAAAGCATTAAAATTGTTTCGAAATTTAAAACATTACAACCAAATCAAAAATGATAGTTCAAAAACAGAATTTAAAAAACCTAATTAAAACTAAG